AGACTAAATAAGAAAATAGAAATCTCTCATAATCTTATCGCCCAGAAATTACCACTGTTAATATTTTTGCATCAATCATTTGATAAAACAAGCTTTCATCTGCCTCAAAAATTTTGTTTTGAGTCTATACACTGATGTTTCATTGACAAAAAGATTATGCCATATATACAGTCTAGCTATTTGCTTTTTTACTTAAAAATACCTCATATATTTTTCCTCATATCCTTAAATATGCAATGTATTTTTCCACAGCGGGGTCATATTCTGTTGTGTGATTGATTTAACTATTTCTTTGTTGCTTCCATTTTTTTTTCTTGTACATAAATATTTGATTATTTCCTTTAGGTTAAATTCCCAGTATTAGAATTGCTGGTAAAGGTTTTTATCCATAGTACCAAATACCCTGTATAAAAGGCTTCCTACTTTATAGTCCCATGGCCGTCCATCAGAGCATCCATTCCCTTGTAACCTTGACAACCCTGGGCATCTGCTGGTGGGTGGGGGTTGCTGTGACACTTAGTTTTTCAAATTGCCTTTTATGGGCTAACAGTGTTTGGTAGAGGAATTCAGAGAGGAGGAAGACGGTTATGGGAAAATGTACCCATATAGATCCAGCTATTTTTCTTCCTGTAATTCTTAGTAACTGTATCATTCTGGTGAGAATGCTTCAAGGGACAATGTCCCTTCCGTGGTGGCTCCATGTTTCAATGAGAGCCCTCATCTTGGCTCCTGTTTGCTCTTTCCTATTCTAGTGAGTAAACTCTCTGCCGTGCCTGGAATCAGCAGTGTGCATGAAGTTCACATCTGGGAGCTTATAAGTGGGAAGATCATTGCCACTCTGCACATCAAGTATCAGCAGGACACAGGGGATCAGGATGCCAGTCTGAAAATTCGAGAAATCTTCCACAACGCGGGAATCCATAACGTGACCATCCAGTTTGAGAAGGTGGACGTGAAGGAGTCCCTGGAGCAGAAGGACTTGCTGATGCTCTGCAGTTCACCCTGCATCTCCAAGGGCTGTGCCAAGCAGCTCTGCTGTCCCCCTGGGGCACTGCCTCTGGCGCACGTCAATGGCTGTGCTGAGCACAATGGCTGTCCCCCACTGGATATGTCCCGAAGTGATGGCCTCGGTGGACGGGAAGCAACAGAAGTGGCTATTGAAGTGTCTTTGGCAGGTGGTCTGAGTGACCATGGACAAGTGCTTAGCAAAACTCGGGAGGACTTGCGTTATGTCAACAGCACACATTTTTAATCTGACGCTCACATAAGTAAGACTGCATAGATGAGGCACTTTGGAACCACTAGCTCAGTTTGTGGGAAGAGCTTTGTGGGTTGCGGACAGTGACCAGACCCACAGTGGGGGCACTCTGTGTTCAGTAAGGGGTTTGGCTGTTTGGGATGTTAGTTGAACTTGCCTGTGAATTTTGATGTGACAGAGAACCCTTTTACGTCATCCTGGGTGTCTTCACGCTGCTCTTCAAGTTTTGTTGGAACGTGTATTTTCCAAAGCAGATGCACTAGTACATACATCCGGGACATTGAAGGCTGGGACTTAATGATTGTGGACGCAGGACTCAAAGTAGTTTTTGTTTCAAATGGAGTAGAATGTCTAGCTGACTCACAGGTAAACACATAGCTAAGAACATCGAAAAAAACTTACAAACTGAAAGAGCTGTATCCTTTTCCTTCCACCGGGAGATCGTCAAAGGGGAAAGTTAGGTAGACCTCCCATTGCAGACATTTTTTTTTTCTTTGACTCATTTTTAAGTAAATGTAAAATGAATGCCTAGCAAGGTAGAAAACCTGAGAACATTAGAGGAAGTTGAGTTTATTGGGGCTGCGGAAAAGGAAGCAAATCTGTTTGGAGCATTTTTTCATTTTGTGCGGTGGAGACAAAAATGCTCACTTTCTGCTGGGAACTGCGATAGGGTGTTTCAGATGTTTAAATATATAAGATGCTTTTTTTGTTTTCACTCTGAAGTGTGGGAGTCTTTCTACTCCTTTAAGTATGACACAGTGCTTATCTACTGTCTTTTAGAGTCAGTCCAATTGGGACTGTTTTCATTTATTGCTTATTAATGATTTACTTATTTGCCCAAATTTCCTTTTGAGTCTCCTTTAATATGATCACATTGATCTATGTAGCATTTACCAGGAGAGAATGGATATTCCTGGGGTAGAGGAATTTATGGCACTGAGTGTGCATCCTTGCCAGAAAAGAAAAATAAAGAAGCTAGATTGACTTTTCTTTAATTAGACATATTTTAAAGTATTTATTATAGTTTTCAACTCATAATTTGATGGAAAAAGTGTTTGTCCAAGGGAGAAATGAGAATTAATTAAATTGCTGCCTTTAATGTGCTTTGAGGAGCTTACACTTTCTTTTATGTCTCTGACCCGTATTACCAAGTTCAAATAAATACATTAGAATCTGACTTGGTTCCATAACAACCTATGTTAGTACTGGAGAAACATCTGTTATGTATGTAACAAACTGTTCAGGCAGCAATTATTTTAACCAGAACAGTCCCAGAATAGGTATAAGGAAATGGGAGGTGCCCCACCAGAGAACCAGAATCTTCTTTGACGGGCTGCAAAATTGACTACAAAGGATCATCTCTTAGGTGCTGAAGTACTTAGTCCTGTGTAGAATCTGCACAGTACTCAGCAGAAATGCTGGGTGGATAACAGGAAAAGCATCCACATTTTTCAGCACAAGCATCATTTGAAAAACTGCATCTTAGTTTTAAATTCTAAGGCTGAAATAAGGAAGCAACTGTGATCAGTGGGAAAGGAAAATCTTTATTCCTTGAAAATGTTTATCTGAGTTTACATTGGCCATGAATTAGGCAAAGAGGAAAAAAATGCCTAAATATGTTTTTATCCCTTAGAGTTTATTAAGTATATATACTTAACAGTATTATATAGTATATAATATAGTGTATGTATACTTCATAGCTAAAACGGGGGTAAGTACAAGCCAACATTTTTGTTTTTAATGTTAAAATTATGGCAGGTACTCACACAAAACAGAAGATTCTTTATGAAACTTACCTCAGTGATATGTGGACCAAATTCTCATGTATCAGTGTTGGCTGAGATGCTCTGACTGGAGCCAAAGGAGAAAGCTGTTTCTCACTTCCGAATTTAAAGGTCTAATTTGATTTCATATCGCTCTGCTCTTACTAAAAGGGAAAAATCATCAACTTCTAGTTTCTGTGCAACTGGCTGAAGGGCTGCATGTTAGTTTACATCCCAATAATGTTCTTGAATTAGCCTCTAAAGCATTTTTCTGGAAAGCAAAAGGCACTTAATTCCCATCTAATTAAATCTAACCTCAGAAAATTATCTTGATGGACACTTATGAACATACCAAATTATGGGGTACAGTCGATGTGAAATAATACCTTTGGCAGACAGCTTGGCTCGGTGTGTTGAATACTTTCCAAACAAGCTAATTTAGGGCAATATTTGTGTATCCGGCGAGGTGCTGGCTTGTGCTCAGGCACCGTGATGCCTGCCGTGTGGCCTTTTTACATGAGTTTTACTCTCTCTTTCGTTGTCCCGCATTTTAATTCTCCCAAGGAAACGCCAGAGTTTTCTTTCTCCTTTTGAATCAGCCCTGAGTGGTGGCAGCAGTGCCTGAGAAACAGTGGACTTAAACCACACTGTTTTTTTCTGAGATGAGAAGAATATTGCTATTCAGTTTAGCATTCCTGTGTGCTTAGGTTAGTTCCAGAAAATTCTTTCCCTTTTTCTCTAGGAACTGAAAATAATTTTTTAAGAGTCTAGGGAATCCTCTGTGTGTCGGGTCAGGACCAGCCCTTGGGTGTGCTATCCTGGGGGACACAGGACATGGCACTTCCCATGGACTCCTGTTTCTATGCAAAGAGTCATTTCCGCAGTGTGTCAGTGCCTGCTATAGGAAACATGACGTCTGCTTATTTATTTTCCCATTTCAACTCTCTTTTTGAAAATAGAAGTTACTTTATTTTTCAAAATATTTGGACATTATGAATACCCATAGAACTAGGAGGCTCCATTGTTGATAGAAAAAAAATTACTCCTTTAATTTTTTTGATAAAATAGCAATAAAATAGGGAGACATTGAGGAAGAATTTAATGTATTCTCCATACTTAGATACTTAGTTACTTTTTTCCTTTTCTTTCTTT